GAGTAAAATGTATGTAATTTCTCAAATTTAGGGTGAACTATTCCTTTAGGATATGTATTATTTAGATTCTTTTTACTGAATAAAGCTCATACATCGCAATTGTAGTTTCAAGTAGGGCTGCACGAGAAATCATTTCAGTATCGATATTGCAATGTGTGAGTCCACAATAGTCACATTGCAGGAATTATAGTTGACCAGACATTACAGTTAACATTATTGTGGAGTCATTTCAAACTTTAACCTGATAGGGTATACGCTAACTTGCTTATTATTTAGACACAAGATGGCGCCAAAATGGTCAAAAGCACAAAGCTGACAGAAACTAAAAGAGCTGATAAAGTATACACTAACCTGCACATTATTCAGAAACAAGATGGCGCCAAACAGTAAAAAAGGCAAAGCTGACAGAAACTAAAACAGCTGAAGGAGTATACACTAACCTGCGCATTATTCAGACACAAGATGGCGCTAAACTGTAAAAAATGCAAAGCCGACAGAAACTAAAACAGCTGAAGGAGTATACACTAACCTGCGCATTATTTAGAAACAAGATGGTGCTAAACTGTAAAATACGCAAAGCTGACAGAAACTAAAACAGCTGATGGAGTATACACTAACCTGCGCATTATTCAGAAACAAGATGGTGCTAAACTGTAAAATACGCAAAGCTGACAGAAAATAAAACAGCTGATGGAGTATACACTAACCTGCGCATTATTCAGAAACAAGATGGTGCTAAACTGTAAAATACGCAAAGCTGACAGAAACTAAAACAGCTGATGGATTATACACTAACCTGTGCATTTTTCAGAAACAAAATGGTGCTAAACTGTAAAATACGCAAAGCTGACAAACTAAAACAACTGATGGAGTATACACTAACCTGTACATTATTCAGACACAAGATGGCGGCAAACTGTAAAAAAAAAAAAAAAAAAACGCAAAGCTGACAGAAACTAAAACAGCTGATGGAGTATACAATAACCTGTACATTATTCAGACACAAGATTGCGCCAAACTGTAAAAACTGCAAAGCCAACAGAAACTAAAACAACTGATGGAGTATACACTAACCTGCACATTATTCAAACACAAGATGGCTCAAAACTGTAAAAAAAAAAAACGCAAAGCTGGCAGAAACTAAAACAGCTGATGGAATATACAATAACCTGCGCATTATTCAGACAAAATATGAAACCCAACAGTCAAAAACACAAAGCTAGCAGAAACTAAAACAGCTAAAGGAGTATACACTAACCTGTGCACTATTCAGACACAAGATGGCGCCAAATAGTCAAAAACGCAAGCTGACAGAAACTAAAACAGCTGATGGAGTATACACTAACCTGCGCATTATTCAGAAACAAGATGGCGCCAAACTGTAAATTATGAAAAGCTGACAGAAACTAACACAGCTGATGGGGTATACACTAACCTGCACACTATTCAAACAATAGATGGCGCCAAACTGTCAAAAACATAAACCCGACATAAACTAAAACAGCTGATGGAGTATACACTAACCTGCGCATTATTTATACACAAAAGGGCACCAAACATTCAAAAAAACGCAGTGTGACAGACAATCAGATAGATATGAATGTGGATGTAAGTAAATTAAATATAACCTTAGTCTGAAAGTTTATTATTTGCATGTGTTGTTAAGGCCTTACAGTAAGAATTTCGAACAAACTTAAACATTGGACACAATACATTAAACATTTGTAGCTTAAAGTTTAATTTAGTACTCGATATAGTGTTATTTTAATTATTACAATACTGTGATTATTTCATTCCTGCTGAATACTGTTAGACTCCCCAGAAAAATCATAAATCATTTTTTATTTGCTTCTTTTGTCTGTTGTGTTTAACCATGCTCGTCATTTTTAAATGATATTTCATACAGATATGCTCCCCTACACAATCATCCCAATCAATCTAAAATTATGAAGTCTTCACTAGTCATCAGTTGAATATCGCAATATATCGCAGTGCATGAAAATGGCAATGTCAATTTTTTTTTTTTCCAATATCGTGCAGCCCTGGTTTAAGGAAAATGATTCATTTTCAGTTCATTCATGTTGAGGCTATCCGTATGGCAAACCAGACCAAAATATCCAGAACTTATTATTAATTTGCGATTTCAGTCTATTAAATTGCTTTCCGTAATGATGCCAACAAGCAAGTAGAGCACGACACTAATGCCAATTATTTCCAATGTTCTTAATAAGGATTTTAAGAAATACCCAACTAGAGTACTAAGTGGTAAACTAAAGCAGCCAGTTTTGAGATGAATCACTAAAGTAATTTGCAACTTTTGATCTGACATAGGAAAAAAAGTGAAAAAGTAAGATTTTACCCTTTTTTTAAAGATCACAGTTCAGCTCCAAAACTACTTATTAATTGCAAAATTTAATCTTTATACTTTGAAGGACCAGAAGTTTTTTTTTTTTTTTGTCAGTTTATATAATTTAAAATGTAATAAATTTGAATTAACATTACTGAATATGTCACATTTTTTACTATCGGAATGTGAGCATGTCATGTCATTTCATTTTTACATTAAGTTGAATGACACCTGTCACCTCACAGCAAGAAGGTCGCTGGGTTGCTGGTTCGAACCTCGGCTCAGTTGGCGTTTCTGTGTGGAGTTTGCATGTTCTCCCTGCCTTTGCGTGGGTTTCCTTCGGGTGCTCCGGTTTCCCCCACATGCGGTACAGGTGAATTGGTTAGGCTAAATTGTCCGTAGTGTATGAGTGTGTGTGTGTGGATGTTTCCCATTAATGGGTTGCGGCTGGAAGGGCATCCGCTGTGTAAAAACTTGCTGGATAAGTTGGCGGTTCATTCCGCTGTGGCGACCCTGGATTAATAAAGGGACTAATCCGACAAGAAAATGAATGAATGAATGAATGAATGAAAATGTTATCTGAAAAATGAACACTAGTTTTTAATCATCTTACTATGTAAATACATATAAGGTGCTTAGCATATATAAATACATATATTTGTGCATATGCATTAGATTAGTCAGTACTGAAGCCAAATCTTGAGCTTTTCTAACTAAATAACTCACAATAACGGTCCAAAAACTTGTACACCCAAATGTATATGTTATATAAAAATATTAAATAAAATTTTAAAAAGAGGAAAAATCAAGAGAAGCAAAAAAGTTGACATTTTTAGGTGACATTTTGTAGGTTGTAATTTACTTTTGCAATATTTTGCTTGAATTTAATTGTATTATCTTTCGATTTGTAAAGACGTTTGATGACTAAATTATTATTTTAAAGAATATATGTGTTTAATAAATCTGTTTTGTTTAAATGCACCAAAATGCATTGTCTATATTCACTGAAAAATTTATTAAAATGTTTATTTTCAATATATATATATATTTAAATATGAATTCCAAACTTTCTTTCTTTCAGTTTTTTTTTCCCTGTGCTTTCTCATCATCAATCTCAAAACCACCTCTCATGCTCTCCTTCCCTGACAATTTATGACATCCTAGGTCCTTGTATATGTTTTAGCATAATCTCTGCGTTTTATTACACACTCCAGTCCCCCGTGAAAACGTAAAGCATACATTACGCACTTCATAACCATCGGAGGCGTATGCAGGTCACTAGAACGTGTTCATGATCTGTGGTTTGAAAATTACATGCCTTGCCTCTTCTTCTACTTTTCTTTTTCTTTTTTTTCAAAGGCTCAGGTGGTCGTAGGCTGAGAACAGCGTCTAGACAGAGAACAGAGGGTCGGTAGATGGCAGTCGTGTCCCTTCTGCACTAGACAAGAAGAAGCAGCAGCAGCGCATCAAACGCTCACACAGAATATCCACAATCACATGTGTGCGTCAAACAGGCGCTACAGACCTGTCCGGATGCGCGCGCGCGCACACACACACTCGCACCCCTCATCATTTAATCCATAGCGTTCAGGGTTATTGCACTCGACCAATCATTGCTAAGATGGAAAAAGATTATTGGACCATTGACTTTTACGCATGCGAGAAGACGCCTGTGAGGACAGCCAGAAGAGTGAGACTTTGGGTTGAGGGCTACATCAATACGCGTTAGAAGATTCTTGGCGTCTCGCGCGTTCATAGGACATCTTCGCGCTAGAACTTCATTCGGGGACGTTTTCTTTCCTTTCTTTCCGACGCTGTTTAGACGCTCCTGCTCGTGAGGTGACTCACTTGTAGCTGTTCCCGCACTTGCGCGCGCTGCGTAATACTGGATTTTCGTCGCGTCAGTGGATTGCTTTTCGTCGGAGTTGAGTTGAACTGGTGGGATGTTGCTTTTGACGAACACCTCGCCTCTGACAAGTTTATAGGCGTCTTTAAAGGAGCTACAGCAGTGGTTGGTGTATTTATCCGTCAGCAAACTCATTTTTTGCTTCACTTTCCTCAAGAAAAAAGCGAGGATTTAGTGGTCCTTTTTTCCTTTCCAAACGATGCTGAGGGTGTTGGATATGATGTGATGTACCAATACTTGCACGCGGCTTCTCTCGCCAGGCATTCCGTAGGACATAATCACATTTCAAGGAAATAAGCATCTTGAAATCCGCACTGGGCTGTGAGTAGAAATCTAATCAGATCGCGGTGCGTAAAAGAACGGGGAAGAAAAGTTCCGTTTTAAACCATGACCGGGGAGTAAGAGCATGGTTTATGGTGTGTTGAAGATTTGGGATGAAGAAGATGCAGGGAATGGTACGTCTCAGGGATAAAACCCATTGGTTGAATGTGAAAACCTGAATCTGCCGAGAATGACACGCCAAACCGAGGAGACGACGATTTAATTGATTTATCAGCAGGAAAGGACTGGATTTTTTTCTCTTCTTCGATGATGATGATGCGGGGAAAGAAAGCGTCGAGATATCTGCTTTAGAGCCACTCGTCCATATGATGGCATTGACAGGAAGAGCGAATGGATATACGAGAGCGAATGTCTTCTCATAGAAGCTCGTGAACCCTCAAACTGCTGTTGGATAGCTTGGATAGTTGAGAGTAAACGCTGAAGAACATTTCCTTGGCGTCGCGCTACTGAATTGCGGATGGATTTTCGAACGGAACGCTGATTTTCGCATGCGATTTGAACCTCACACATTGAGAAAGTAAGTCATCCGTGGCTTTGTATTTGCATGAGTGGTCACTTTGACGTCTTTTTGACACCCAGAGGTTTGAATTGTACACCTGGAGGGGTACTTAAATAGGCTACAATACGCACGTCTGGTGTAATTAAAAAAGGTTATAGTGCTGTCAGTTGTGTAATTTGAACAGTCGTTCTGCATATATCCACACATATATATCGACTGAATCGTTCTCTCACCGGCTGTGAGCTTTGCTTTTTTCCCCAACTGTCTTTATCTCTCTCTAGTGTGTGCGCGCGCGCTCGTGCGTGCGTGTGATAAATGTGTGCGCTATTGACAACTGCACAGTGTTCCACCTTTGCGGTCGAATCTTTCTTTCATTCATTCAGCGTGGATGCGATGTGCCACATCCGTGTTAAGGCGTGATTTGGTTCCTATTTTAATTAATCATGTACGAATATAAATAAATGAGCCATTCGTATGCTTTTCAGGTTAGACTCAGTCAGAATGAGGGTGATTGTGCTGAAGGATGGAATTCAGGCTGTTGCTTCTTAGATTTTGATACGACCATATGTATACGTTATTCATTTTTGTATTATAAATATGAATTTAACAGAAGCTTCTATATTTCTTATAGGCTAACAGGCATCTTATAGGCATCTGCGTTTTTTTTTCCTTCATTTTTTAACTACTGGTAAACGTATTGTTTTTGGATATTGTATTTAAATATGCTTTGGTTCAGTACTTTTTACTTCTGAAAAACATTTAAGTACAAATTAAAACGTTTACACACACACACACACACACACACACACACACACACACACACACACATATATATATATATATATATATATATATATATATATATATATATATATATATATATATATGTGTGTGTGTGTGTGTGTGTGTGTGTGTGTATGTATATGTATATATATATATATATATATATATATATATATATATATATATATATATATATATATATATATATATATATATTTCACCATGTTTTACAGAATTACCAAACTAAAATCACAATGAATTTAAATTTAAACCAATAAATTTTTAGGACTTTGTTTCATTTTTATACTTTAAATTTTATTCTTCAAACCATTTATTCCCCATTTTTCAGCAAGATTTTCAAAATCACTTTACTCCTTTACAATAAAATGTGTTATGATCAGAATAAATATTTTATCATCTTTGCATACATATTTATTTTATGCTTAATAAAGTTGGAACATCATTTGTCCTGTTTTTTAAAAAAACGTTATTTGAAACATTTGACACATTATTTACAATTAATATGCATGTATATTTAATGTTGTAGACACTAAAACGTATTTGATATAAATTAACACCTGCTGATAAAATTACTTATTAAAAATGAAATGTCTAAAATCCGTACGCATTCACATTGATGTAAGCATGACTTAATAACCATCCTATAGAATAGACGTGATCTGATTCAGTGCTGACAGAGTTTGGCCTTGCTCTGGAAGCAGTGCTGAAACCCATGCCAGAAAACTGCAGAACCGCTCTACTGTTTGTGTTTCTCCACTTCCCACTGCCTTATGCTAATATGCCTTGTGAAAATGATTATTTTTAAATTCAACCATACAGTACAAGCCAACCATATTGAAGTGTGGATTACATCGCTGGAAACATCCAAACAATATTAAGGAGATTGTTTCAACAGGAAAAAAAAAGATCTTAAATTAGCCATGCTGCATACTCTAAGGTCATAGCTGTCTGTCATAATTACAAAGTCTCTCAAGGAGGAAAACAATTATGTGTGCTTTGTATCACAGGTATCTGTGCTTTTCGTTTTGACTTCATTATCTTGTGTAACAAGTCAATAAAACCTTGGCAGAGGAGTCTGCCTTTCTACTTTTTAATTTGTGATTATTACAAACTCAGGCAATCCTCAAAACTTCCTTAATTCAGATCAGGATGTCTTGTGTTCATACTTGATGTGTATTGATTTGGAAAGTAAGTGATAAAGCCTGTAAAGAATTGTTTCTGTTTTTTTTTTTTTTTTTTTTTTTTTGTGATAGAACTCAAGCAATCTAGTAAAAAAAAATCTTTAATTTAAATCAGGATATTTTGCGTTTACACTTGATGTGTATTGATTTGAAAATGAATCAAAGTCAAGAAAGCATTGGCAAAGGAGTCTGTCTTATTTTTAATTTGGAATGAACAAAAAGCAATGCCTTAAATGACTCAGGTCAGGATGTTTTATGTTCAAGCTTGATGTGTGCTGGTTAAAAAAAAAAATCAGTGAGGAAACAAGTCAGAAAAAAAATGGTAGATGAGTTTGTTTATTCTGGTTTATTTATATGTGATAAATCTAAACTTAAGGAATCCACAAAATCCAGATCAAGTTTTAGATTCACACTTGATGTTTATTGATTTGAAAATGAATCTAAGTTGAGAAAGCATTTATGCTTTTAATCTGGGATAGACAAAGCAATGACTTAAATCAGGTCCGGATGTTTGATGTTCACACTTAATGTGTGCTGGTTTAAAAAAAGTGAGGAAACAAGTCAGTAAAACATTGGCAGATGACTTTGTTTTTTAGCTTTTATATTTATGATAATTCCAAACTTAAGTAATCCACAAAACAGACTTCATTCAGATTAGGATGTTTTGTATTCACACTTGATGTGTATCGATTTGAAAATGAATCAAAGTCAAGAAAGCATTGGCAAAGGAGTCTGTCTTAATGCTTTTAAATCTTTGATGAATATGAAGCAGTATAGAAAATGTCTTATTCAGATCATGTTTGTGTTCACACTTAATGTGTACTGGTTAAAAAAACTGAGGAAACAACTCAGTAAAGCATTGGCAGATGTGTTTGTTTTTTGAGCTTTTATATTTGTGATAAATCCAAACCTAAGCAATCCACAAAATTGATTCAGATCAAGATGTTTTGCCTTCACACTTGATGTGTGCTGGTTAAAAAAGAAAACAAGTAAAAATGATAGCTGAATCTGTTTATTCTGCTGGTTTATTTGTGATAAATACAAACTTAAGCAAATCCACAAAACCTTAATTCCTTAATTCAGATTATGATCTTTACATTCATACTTGATGTGTATTGATTTGTAAAGTGAGTGATTGAGAAAGTGAATGAAGCATTGACAGGACATTATTTTTGCTTTTAACCTATGATGGAACAACATTAATCCACATTAAAACTCTTAATTCAGTTTAGGTTGTTTTGTGTTCACACTTGGTGTGTACTGGTTAAAAAACATAAGTGAGGAAACATTAACATAAGCATCTGTTGTTGTTTTCTTCTTCTTTTTTTATTTGGGACAATAATGCAAACCTTAAGCAATCCACAACACTGACTTAATTCAGTACGGATGTTTTGCATTCACACTCGATCTTAATTGGCTTAAAAAATGAATCTATGACTTATGTCATTTAGTTCTGTAAGTCAGTAAAGCCTTTCTTTTACATTTATTAAGTAGGAACTGAATCAATCCACAAAAAAAACAAAACATCTTAATTTAGATCATGATGTTGTGTTCACACTTGTATCAGTTAAAAAAAAAAGAATGTCATAAAAGTCATAATTCAGATTTCAGATGTTTTATGTTCACACTTGATGTCTTCTGCTTTATAAAGGAAGTCATAAAAGAAGTCAGTAAAACTCTAGCAGAGGAGTCTGCCTATTTGCTCTTTAATTTGTGATGAATACATACTAAAGCAATGCAGAGTTGGTTTCATATAAGAGTTGGTTTTCATATAAGGGTTCTTTGTTCACTCTCTTGATGTGTATTGATTTGAAAAGCAATGCTAAATGAGGCTCTGTGGATGTGTGATATGATGGAAGTGACCAGGTTAACCTTTAAAGCAGAAGTGAGACGATCTATGGCTGTAATCTTTGCTTATTTATTCTGAAGACACTAGTATGTATTGGTTTTTCAGATTTCAGACATACTGTGTGTCAGAAAGTCAAATATCTATTTATTTATCTATCTATCTATCTATCTATCTATCTATCTATCTATCTATCTATCTATCTATCTATCTATCTATCTATCTATCTATCTATATATCTGTCTGTCTGTCTGTCTGTCTGTCTGTCTGTCTGTCTGTCTGTCTGTCTGTCTGTCTATCTATCTATCTATCTATCTATCTATCTATCTATCTATCTATCTATCTGTCTGTTTTTCATCTTTAAAAAAAAAAAAAAAACATTTCCAAGATCAAGAACATGAAGCTCTAGCTCTGCTCGATGTTCTGCAGTCACGAGGTGAAAAACAGCATAGTAATTTTTTTGTTCTGAAAGCCGAGTGGAATGAATTGGAGTCCTTGTGTGTAATGACTGAATTATATCCATCTGTCTGTAGAACTCCATTTTGTCCCTTCGAAGCAGTCGGTGCATGGCCGCCCACTCACGTCACCCTTTAGGAGAGCTTCCTGTTGGCCGGACGCCCGATCCCAAGCTTAGAGGCCTGCGTTAGTACAAGACCCTTTTGCATTGCGGTTTTATCAGAATTTATGCAGGTCTCTAAATGATAGTTTGCGCTAGAATTTACACTTTGCTATTACTTAGTTATCCTCATGTCATTCCAAACCTGTATGATCACCATGCACTCTGAAAATGAAAGCATTGGTGAGGATTTTTTCAAGAGCCATTTGTTTTTTTAGGATGACGAATATTGAAAAAATCGAATGATGTATTTTCCACTATAAAGCTTGTTTTGTGAAATGAAACATTTCTGTATATGCTGGAAAAATGGAACCTCACAGTTCAAAAGAGAAAAAAAACATAATTGTTTTAGTAACTCATTTCTAATAGCTGATATATTTAATCTTTGCCATGATGACAGTAATTAATGTTTTATTGAATATTTTCAAGCCTCTTCTATACAGCTTAAAGTGACATTTAAAGGCTAGGTTAATAGGGTTATTAAAACTAGGTTAATAAGGTTAACAAGGCAGGTTAGTCTAATTAGGCAAGTTATTGTATAATGATGGTTTGTTCTGTAGATTATCGAGAA